TGGGGATATCCTGGTGATCGGGGAAACCCCTCAGGGCGACCCAGATATGGTAGACCAGTCAGGGTAGCATGAAAGCGTAACCCCAGCCCGGACGTCCAGGAAATTTTTGCAGTGATGCACCGGGGGCCTGATGAACACGAAGGCTCCCGCAGAAGCCTGTGTTATGGCCGCATGATCCAGGAAGTATGAAGCCGAAAACCATGCTTCAGACACGGGTCACGACGCGGCATTCCCCATAGCGACCCCTAGAGGACGCAGTTCGAAGTTCCCATGAAAGGGAAGCTTATTTATTTATTGTATAAATCTCAATTTTAAAAAAATTGACCCTTATGACTAGGGATTCACCGATATGAAAATTTTGGCCGATACTGATAACCGATTATTCTTTATTTTTGAAAGCCGATAACCGATATGTTGGCCGATAAATCTATATCCAAATTGTTATATACTTTTTGAGAGCCTGATTACAAAAAAGGTCTCATCATTAAAAGCCACATCCCAAACACTTCAACATAAGCAGCCTAGTTTGAACGGTGTACGTTTTAAAAATATTTTTACTCTCCCATTACCAAATTTAGTCATAAAAAAGTCTTACAAATAAATAAAATAATGCATAAATAATGCAAACAAGTCACTGGACATCATTACACGTGTAAAGAATCAAAATGAATGCGCCATAGATCAATAAAACGGAATAGCCTCTGCACGGACAATAATTAAATGATTTTAATTACTAAACCATATTGTTGATGAAAATAATAAGAGAAAAATACAAGTGGTTGTTATTATTAATAATGTATTAATGATTTTGAAAAAGTAACAAATTAATACCACTGTTTTAAATAGCAGCCGTTGAGCTGCGCGTGCTGAAGCTGAAGAGCTGAATGAACATGGTAAACTGAAGCGTTTTGCTGGCAGCTTATTTAATTCAAGGAAATGCATCCTGAGATTAATATTAATACAACATAAACATAATATTACAACTTATATATGTACAAAATGATGCAGTTATTGCGTGCTATAGTCAGAATGTGTGATCCTGTTGTGGATGCGCTCTTCCCATATCAACGCGCTGAAACACGGCAACTAAACCCAAAGAATTCACAACGTTTTATTATAATAATGTTCTCATTAGAATGTTATATACACAACATTCCCAATCATAGTTATTAATGTTGTGCACTGCTGTTTGAGCTGCGTGTGCTGAGCTAAAGATGATCACCGGTAAACTGAAGCGCTCTTTTAACTTAACCAAACGCATTCTATATGAGATAAATCAGATATACATCAAATAAACACAATATTACAATGTACAATTGCACAAAAGGCTGCAAACGAACAGCGCGCATCTGAAGTGTCTCTGAAGGAAATAATGCATTATTTATCGGCTTAAAGATATCGGCCAAATTTTCTTATCAGGCCGATACCGATAACAGAAAAAAATTAGCATTTATCGGCCGATACCGATATGGTGGCCGATATATCGTGCATCCCTAACCATGACTATAAATGATAACTATAGTGAAAGCGATAACTATAACAATAACTCTGATATAACAATAAATATAGCGTTAACTATAGCAGCAATAATTGTAAAGATAAATATAGTGAACTAATAACTATAACCATGACTATAAACGACATCTTTAGTGATAATGATAACTACAACAACAACTATAACAATAACAATAATAGCTACAACGATAACTATAACAATAAACATAGTGATAACTACAGCAATAGCTAATAACTGCAAACATGACTATAAACGATAACTATAGTAATAACAATAAGTATAACGATAACTTTAACAATAACTATTAGAATTATGAAAATATATATTGCGATAACTATAATGATAACAGTGACTACAACAAGTATACCGATAACTACAGAGAAAAATATAACGATAACTGATAACTATAACCATGACTATAACAAGAATTATAACGATGACTATAGCGATAACTGTAACAACAAATATAGCGATAACAATAACTATAGCAAACTATAATGATAACTATAACAATAACTCGCACAAATACATGTTTGTTTCACTGTATCAGTGAGGTCAACTCATAGACTTTCATTGTTTTCTGTCAGGTTAATGATATTTTCTGTGCCCTAGCCTGACCTCTGACCCCTGACCCCTAGACATAACCATCAGAGAAACCTGTCCAAATACTAGATTTTAATGCAATTGTGATTTGCAGGTTTATGAGCATTTTAAATAGTAAGGACACATTAAATGTCTTTAGAAGTCACTATATTAGTGAGCAGATTTGGCTAAACCTGGTCTTGTGTGTGTGTGTGTGTGTGTGTGTAGATGTGGACGAGTGTGTTCAGGCTCCTAAACCCTGTAACTTCATCTGTAAGAACACGGATGGCGGATATCTGTGCTCCTGCCCGCGAGGATACGTGATGCAGGACGATGCCAAGAGCTGCCGGGGTAAAACACACACACACACAGAGACAGAGAGAGAGAGCGGTTAGTGAGTCTAGACTAAATCTGACTTCCTCCTGCCCCAGATAAGAGATAAACATACACAAACACACGGCTGATTAAACACACATCACATTAACGACACACGGCTCATTATTTACACCGCTGCAGCGTAACGCCTGTAGTCTCAGAGCTCAGGTTCACTGGCGGGACAGCGTGTGTGTGTGTGTGTGTGTGTTCTGACTCTGTGTCTCTCCAGATCTGGATGAATGCGCCACCAAACAACACAATTGTCAGTTCCTGTGTGTCAACACCATCGGAGGATTCACCTGCAAATGCCCAACGGGATTCACACAACACCACACGGCCTGCATCGGTGAGAACACACACACACACACACACACACACACTCACTCACACACTCACACACACACACACACACACACACACACACACACTCACTCACACACACACACACACACACACACACACACACACTCACTCACTCACTCACACACACACACACTCACTC